AAATGGTCAACACAACTTGGAAAACATGGCAATATTTATTCATGATAATAAACCTGTTTTTAATGAAATCCATGGATGTCCAAACACAAACTGAATCATGACAACCCAATGGCCTTTTGTTACAAAAAACATGACATATGTCCCATTAATTTGCTAAATGATACGAGTGCAGAGAAGGATGAATCAAAAACACTAAAATCCTTTTAAACACACCATCTAATATAGATATCAATTCTGGAAACGGCATTCAAAAATAGTTCCTCTGCTTTAATTTCATCTGCTGATTTTTTGTTACTGTACTTTTACAAATTTCTTTAAAGCTCTAATTGTCATCATTCATTTCAACACAAAACTGCTAGCACTTTGGCTTGACTTTTCATAGAGGACTAAATTCTATCACACTAATACATATGTAGGGAGGTATACAATGTCATTTGGAAATATATGAGTCTGAAAGGGCCATCATAAATATCCTACAAACTATATAGTTCATAGGCTATATATACCACATGGTATATATGATGGTTGACTAGATAAAATTATATACCTGTCTGATTTGATTGTCCCTAACAACTTCAGACTTCTTTTACATTAAAATTACTTATTTGGCAGAAAAAGTTTAAGTTTGCTAGAGATTTAAGTTTCCACACGTACAATTAAATCAAATTCCTAAATAACTGTTGCTTTTCAAAAATTCACCTTGCTCTTTTCCAGAAGTCATTTGGACCCATTTGATAACATACAAAAATCAAACTAAATGCAAGAAAAGACCTTTCTAAATAAAATTTTCTTATTGTTAACTTATAACATGGTCACCCTATTATAACTTTTAAATTGAATTATTAGGATCTGCAGATTTAAAAAAGACAATAATGTTCATAAATAAAATCCTAGAAAGAAAGGCACTTATGCCCTGCACATGGTTATTCCAGTCTGTAGATGCTACAACCCTTTTCAAATGAAACTGGTTTCTGGCCTGCATACAAATACAGCAAAGTGCCAGAATAAAATAATATCAGAATGCTTATGAAAAATAATCAAGTTTGTTACCAAATGTTTCACATCAGTAGGAAATTTCTTTAGAGACTTCTGATGGAAATTTGAAGTGTATGCTGTTATATCAAGTGCAGGAGAGGTATAAGGCTGTTGGAGAAATTTCCTTAGTTTGTTGACTCAAAAGCCAAAACAATTGTTGTAACAAAAAGCTTGACAAGATAATTAAATGAATGATAACAAAATCTCGTCAGGGAAGTGCCCATTAATTGAATTTATTTGGGAGCATGTTTCACATGTATAACCAAATTATCTAATTTTCACTCATATTAAAAAGTGATAGTCTATAACAACTAATTACTAGAAATGAAGGGAAAGGCCAGTACTTTGAGCCAATAACACAGAAGAAAACAAATATCAAAGGACTGCCACCATATTCGACAGCTTCCTAAGAATTCCATTCATCATTTTGCCCTATGAAAATATTTCTGTGAAACTCGCCAAAGAAAAGAATCCCAGTAATTTCTATGTAGTAGTGTCTTTAAAGCTGGAACACAAAACCACATTCTCTGAATCCTTTCATTACATTAACATGTGTCAGTATAAGTGTGCCAACAGGTGAAATAACTGAGAATAATATGTTATAGATAAAACAATTGAGTTCTGGTATTTCTTTTCTGTAAGAAGATTAGTGCCATCCTTGTTTTCTTCTTTAGTATTACGTATGGTTGATTGTTTTTTAAAAAAATTTGTTGCTGTTTTTATGTTATACAGATAAAAAAATTGAATTAAAGAATTATTATGGTCAACTTTTAAATTTGAAATGAAGAATGAAATAATCTATACTTTACTCAGATTTTCTACTTTGAGCTATTAGCATGATCTCTCCAGATTCAAATTGGGTATTTTTAATGCTTTAGCAAATGACTTTCCAGTTTCCTAAAGTTAATAATGAAACTCATGATATATCTGTAGCAGTCAACTAGATTTTGTTCACAGTCAACATATTCAATAAAAATTTAAAACTATGAGATCTGTCACTCTTATATTGCTAATGCCATCCTCTAAAACAACATTAATCTGTTGGAAAACATTTGGCAAGAATTTTGTATACTAGCAAGACAATGAAATAAAGTCAATTTTGGCTTAATGTTTGTATAAACTGTAAGCAGCCTTGACTATTTGCAGTTTCATCAGAGGCAGGAAAATCTGAAGTAATAAGTGATGACAGGAATATTCTTTCAATTTTGCAACTTTTTTTCTAAAGAAAATTATTATCTAAATAAATATACTTTAAACATATTGGGTAAAATTTCATAACAATATTCAAAATATTTCTTGCATTTAAAATTTATGTTTCAGCTTTAAAAACAGTTCTTAATGTTCTTTTTATTGTGGGACATCATTTTACATTCAGAAAACTAGCTGTTGTAATTATAAATCTAGCAACTAACACTCATTCACAATGACTTCATCACGACCTGAAACAGTAATAAAACCTAGAGCTGCTTTATCTTCCACAAAGTTGATGCTACATTAATTTTAAAAAAAAGAATAGGGCTATGCTTTGTTTTCCTAAATCATTTCCCTAAATTAGTATAAAATAGATGTCTGTTATGGTATAGCTATGTAGATCAAGTAATAGATAAGTTTAGAGCAACAGATAGGTAGATAGATATAAATATGGCCATCATTAAAATATAATAGAATGGTTTTGCTAAGTGAAGTAATGCATGTGAAAGATTTCATTTATATCTTATTTTGTTGTCATTTCTATTTCTGTTTTTATCTTTTGTTTAATCAATACAGTAAAAGACAGTTTCTGATTAAACAATATTTCAGATGTTAAAACAATTCTTTTTATTTGTTTACATTGGCAGTTCACAGTCTAAAAGCATAACCAATCAGGCAAAAACTGCACGTAGACTGCTCTGGATTTTGAAGACTTTTTGCTTCTAACAGATTTTTATTTGAAGTTACGGAGCAATATCTACATTTTACTGATAGTTAATAATTGGGAGGGGGAATTATAAGTAAACAAAGTCCTTGAAAGAAAAGATTTTTATCTTTAGTGTTAGCTTAATGTCTTGCTCAGCACTTTAAAATTTTCTTAGAAGGATAACTTTCTAACCACTACTTTATGATAATTTAATCACCCTTATATTGTGAACCTAGCTATCCTATTTCATGAATATTGCACATTTATTTCCAATAGACCTGTTCCTTGATGATCAGAATTGGAACCTGTGTTTCTAACTGAAAACAATCGGCACATTTTATTTCCACACCACTTTCACATAAGAGGTATTTAAAAATACAAAGCTAGTATTTTTTTCATGAGTTCCTGGGCTTAAAAATTCAAAATATTAAAGTTTCATCAGTTTCATCTTAGATGAGACTTGCCTTTAAATACATGGTGTGTTTTCTGTAGAAGTTACCTATATGTCTTCAAAAACCTGACTTGTCTAGAAAAATGACTCTCTGAGACAGTCATGTTTCTTTTTCTGTTGTTCTTGTTTTTTTTAAAAAAAGACAAAACAGCAATAAACATTTTAGCTCTTTAATGAGCAAAGATCATGTCTCTTAGCATTGGACTAATAGTCATTATTATCTTTATTTCACGCAATGACCAGTGACATGGCCAAGATGTACAAAGTTGTTTCCATCAAGTAGTATACAATTTTTTTTTGTATAATAAGCTTTCATTCTTGAAAAAGAGTAACTGAAAAGAAAGGTTTCTGTTACTGCAGTTAGTTTGTCAGAGAAAGTTCTTTGCATTATCTTACAAACTATCAAAATTGCTAGTCATCTGAAAAAATGTAAAAAAAAATCACATAACTTTAGTCTAATAGAAATATAGTACAGGTAAGAGAGAAAGTATTTATCAGGATGTGCTCTTTAAGTCCATCTCAATTTTTTTTAATACAAATGTACATCTGATTACATATACAAACATTTGGAAAGGTCTGTGATATACTGTTACTGGTAAACAACAGGGGGATGAAGAGTTTCCTGTGGTCTTAGAATATTCATTTAAAATCACACGCATGTGTAAGACTAAAATCCTCCAGGTGTTGACTCTCCTTTTAGGTTTTGCATCTACGTTGCACTCTACTGAGATTGCGTGAATAAATTCCAGTGAATGAACCTCAGCGAGAAAGATAAGTGACGTGAGAAGGGACATAACTTTATATTGAGTTATTATTAGTAAACATTTTGTCATGCAACATGAGTAAATCAATGAACTGAGAACTGTAATCAGAGTGGTAATTTGGGGCATCCTTGTATCATAAAAGACTAGTAAGTAACTCTTTGGACACACTTCACCTTACCAAAAGGAACAAAATACAGAGTAACAAAAACCACAGCAAAGTATAGATCCTGTAACACATGTCCAATTAGGGTTATATTTCCATGAAGTACTTAGATGGGAATGAAAAGAATATTAAAAATATAGGAATTTTTTTTTCTGGGATTCATATCAGCGAGTATTCACCACTATACCTATAGTTTCTTCAAATACCTTTCATAACTAATTCCATCTATTATCAAAACTACTGTGAATTATTTTATTGTAATTACTTTTGCCCCTTAAAATCTTCTTTAGGTTCTGCCAATTGATGGAGGAAGCTTCTATTAAAAACTCCAATGGGATGAGAAGAATTTTAATTACAGCTTAATCAGCAGCACAGCCACCAAGCATATAAATTATCATGCACATCGTGCTAAAAATATCCAGTTTCCTTTATCCCCACAACTTTATACTGACAGCACTTATGTGATAATGTTGTACCTGCCAGTCTTTAAACTTCGTTGTTTTACTGGCAAATTTCAGCATGAGCCTCCGCTAAGGCCATTAACAGCATTGGTGCTTTGTGTACTTATCCAAATATGTAAATATGGTCTACACAATAAAACAGCTCCAAATAAAAACTGGTGAAAATTAGCTGACATTCCATTGGTGTGTCCCTTGTGCATATTCATGGTTGTTTTTTAAATTTTTTATATTTTATATTTCAGACATAGTTCTTTCCTGTTTGGTGTTCCACATGCCTAATTCCATCATGTAACATAAATCTTCAAAAAATTAATTCTTGAATGTGAATGAAAAAGTATCATTCAGAACAATTGCTTCAAGCAATTGAAATTCATTTTTAAAGTTGATTTGTGTATATATGTACAATTCATGTTTTTTTCAAAGCCCCCAAAGTTCTTGATATGTATATTCACATAGTATTCCTCCTTATTTAAATAGTAAGCGTCTTGTAGGTTGAAAGCCAAGGAATCTTCAGTAATCTTTTACTGCAATCCATCAAAAAAATAGAGTTTGCTTCTCTTATCTGGCTATACCCTGGTTGTTGAATGTGAGTGGGGGTGGGGATGAGGATGGGGCAGAGTATTGTTCTGTCCTCCGGTAAATGTATTGAATGTGTGTAAGGGTTGAATCCCTGGTATAGTGTTGGGAATCATTGTAATGGTGTTGGGTGTCATTAAGGGAACATCATCAGGTGACCTCCTCATAGCTAGTGTGTAATCTGGGGGGCAGGCGGTCCGAAGAACCACCTCATGTGGATGGATGGACTCACATTCATGATCCAAATCGGTGTGCTTCATTTGGAGGGACATGATCTCCTCTTCTTGTGCGTGGGTCAGATCATTCGTAGTCGTGCGCTGAGGGCTGCATCTCCTGTGAACGTCATGTCTCCTCTTATCCTTTTTGTAGTACAGGGCTGCAAAGGCCAGGATGTTCAGAAACAGCAGTGATGCTCCAACTGCAATAGTGACGCTCAGCTCTGTTGAGTAGTCCCTTTGATCCACTGAAAATGGACTCGGTTGTTGTTTGGGATCATCCTGCTTGGCAGTGGGAAAGGCTGATGTGACAGATACAGAATTTTTTCTCGTAGGTCTGAAAGTGATGTCAGTTGATGGCACTTTAGTTGTTGTCGAGGTATACTGAGAAATGTCATTGAGATTATGCAGATGAGGTACCAGCTCCAACCAGAGGTTTACTTTATTGGCTCTGTAATGTTCTTTAACTCTTGGTTTTAATCCAATATGGAGATAAAGTTGGTCTTTCTGGGAATATCTGGTCCATGCTACTTCTTCAAAGCGGTTGGGTTTGGTATGGATGAATTTTGTGTCTTGAGGGACTGGTTGATTTGGGTCGCTAGAAAAGAGAAATTATGAGAAAAAAAATTGTTTTATTCTTTTAAAAATCAAAACAATACTGGTTTAACATCTAATTGAAGAGGGTGAACTCAGCCAGGCTTTAGACTGTGTTTTAACATAACTTGGCTCAATTTAGAAATATCAATCCCAGCTCAGGCAGGTTGTTGGATGATAATGTAGTATAAGTAAATCTCACATTCTTGTTCTCTCTACCCACGGGCTGCTATATACCCAAAGATTTAAAAATTCATGTACATATGAGTTGTCTCATAGGCAAGCTAGCAGAGACAGCATTGGAAAAAACTTGGCATTTGGAATTGGCAGGTGAGGATTTGAGTCCTGATGCTGCTGTACACTAAACATATGAATATACAAGTAAAGCTCTCGTAGCCTATCGTCCCTTTTCTGTAAAATGGGATTATAATATCTGAGCTGCTCACCTCACAAGGTAGTTGGGAGGATCAAAAGGCATACAGTACTGTAAATTGAAAAGTCTTTATAAAATATTTGTCACTATTGAATAACAATAATAAGTCCTGTGTAATTAAAAAAACAAGATAAATTTAATTATTGAGTAATGCAATAAAGGTATGACTGTCTTAAACTTTACAAAGGAAGAATAAAGCAGTGATCTTTTTGAAACACCACAAATATAAATTTTGAATAAAGGAACTTAATGTATTGTTGGTATTAATCTATTAAATTAAATCATTTGGACACAAAATATGTATTTTTTAAGTGCTTAAGAGGATATTTTAATTAAATTATAGCAAACTTCATTCCTTAGGTACATACCCAGTTTTAGCAAAATTTGTCCAGTATGTCATTACGACTGCACTCAGCATCACATCATTTTTGGAGAAATTGCAAGGAAATAACTCTGTAGGTCCAATCATGGGGATTCCTAGTACGTAGGGAACCTCATCACCATGAGCTGCATCAGCCCAAGCTGGAACCTGATCTGTTTGGCAATGATGGTAAAAGGCATAGAAATATGTGGGTGAACCAAAGTTTGAGTGAAGATCTGCTGTAGCTACAGCTGGTGCCACCCACTGATGGTCCGTAAACAAAGCTAATAATGTCTTCCTTCTGGTTTCAGGGTTATGACGGTCAGCCCAGTCAGTATACATGAATTTAATGGTTTCTCTCAAAACATCTTTGCCTTCAGGGTATCCATATAAGTTATCAACAAAATTAGAAACAGCAAAGTCAAAATCACTAGCGGAGATACCATCATCGCTATCTACTATATTTTCAACAAATTTTAACCCTTCCCCTTGGTTAACTCCTAACATTATATCATAGTTGAGAAACTCTCCTTGCTCCATCAGTATCTGAGGATCATCTGGTATTACATCACCATCAATCACAGGTCCAAAGGCTATGTGGTATCGTGCTGGTTGAATATCTTGGTCAACAAGTTCTTTGTAAGGCTTCTTCTGTAAGCATTCCACTAACTCTACTGTATCTGAAACATTGCAACCAACTTTTGTGGCCAACATTCTAGCATATTTTGCAGGTTGGAAACTAACAGCCCAGCTGGAAAGGGCAGTTCCACTTTGAGCTATTGCTCGTTGAAAAAGTCCTATAGGAAAAAACAACAAAGAGTTTCAGATGACCTTTGAATAATGCTGTGGTAAAACAATAAAATCTGATATTTGAGACATGTCCCAGATATGACTCAAGAAACAGGGAGATAGAGACAGTTTTGCTTAAGAGAAGGTACATAAAGTCATCCCCAGGGTATAATGAATTAGAGAGGTGGACATTAGTCCTCTGCTTTGAGTAGCAACTACTTTGGGATCAAGAGATCTAAATTGTGCAATGTCTCAAAAAAGCAGTAAGCAAGGAGAGAAGGAGAGTGTGGAAATACTTGGCCCAAGTATTTATTTGCTCAGCATGTAAACACCTACGCTGTTACCATAGCCAACCAGATGCGGCTAACTCTCTCCCCTTTAATTCATCATCAGACTTTGTATTGTCTTTTGAGTATATTTCCTCCAATTTGGCTGCAAGCATTTCTTCAAAATGGCTCTGTGTGTTTGTTTTAATCAGATTTTATCTGGAAAAAAAAAATTGTTCAGACCTCACATAACTACTGGGGCTGGGTATTTGCTAATACCCTGGGGATGGCCCTAAAGGCACACGAAACAGAATATTACTTTAGACATACTCTTTCCAGTTCTTTATGTCAGACATAGTATGCTGAATATTCATCTTTCAGAAGAAGTTATAACATTTGAAGTATTTTCACTAGGTTAAAGAAAAAGCCATCAGCAGAAGGATTTAGTGGGGGGGTGATTTAACTTTCTCCACTGTTGAATGTGCACTGCTTTATTTTATCATAAAAGATGAAAAGTACATGGTCCACTGCTTTTCACTTAATTACATTTAAGAATTATAAATCATGGTCCCATATGCAGCTTGATAAGAGCTGCATACCATTCAAATTTATAAATGAACTTTACTTATTAAGGTATTCTCTAATAAAATTCTTGTTTTAAAAATATAATTTATCTATTTTATTTAAGAAATTACATTTATTGTCAATTTCCAAATACAGCTTTGTAGTTCAGTTATTCAAACACATGCTCAATCATTCATATGTGTTAATGTGTAAGAACTCTTTCACAGAGGTGTTAAAGTAATGACTGAATTAGAAGCAAAGTTTTCATTTTTTCTCCAAACACATATATGTATTCAAAATGTCTGTAATATGTTTCTAGATAATTATAAAAATATTCAAAAAGTCAAACAATACTAATTTAAATTTGTTTTGGTTTCTGACATCTTTATGAACATATTTTCAGTTTGCTAGAGCAAAGTTTGCCAGAGCAAATAATATAAATACAAATAATTTTAAAAAATTATATAGGCTATGTGTTTGTCAACATTTGCTCAGAGAAATATTGTACTGCTTAAAAACTTTATAGCTAAAATAAGACTTCTATAAGGTTCTTTCCCATTTTAGGGACTTAATGACATTAATTAAATATATCAAAAAAGGTTTTAAGGACAATACACATCACATTTGATATAGTCTGAAATATGCCATCTAGATGATACTGGGAAAAACCACATATTCTGTTGTCAGCGAGAGTGCTTGTTATGTGTGGTTGACTCCTGATAGATACAGGCTTGAGCATTGTTGCAGCTCTGGGAAGTTCCCAGACCTTAAAGTTTATGTCTGCAATGGAGATAAAATTAGCCTGATGATTTCAAGACCTCTTCTGGGCATCTCCTGGTCAATTCAGGCAGCTTTGCTAATAGAGATAAACTTATGACTAGATCAAACGTAAGTCCATTTATCTAGCCAGGCATGGACAGATTTCCTTGAAGAGTGTGATGGAATGCTATATTTTCAATTGTTTGCATAGCCATTTGCCACTGTTTACCATATTATGAGTTGATGAATAGCAATGCTAGCTGATGAACTAATTGATTCATCTCTTTATGCAATGCTAGTGTTATACTGGCTGAAAATGGCTTTGGTGCCCATGTTCACTTTTACATTTAGAAAAAGTTTTAGAAAAAGTCAGCACAAAGAGCATTTGAGACCAAATGATCCTAAGAAGTCTGAACAGATTGTCCAATGTTATCCTAGATAAGTATTGGCGTTAGTATAGTCCTCAGGCTAGAACAGTCTAGTCTGTTCAATTAAGAAAAACAACAGCAACGAAGTTTGTTATTTCAAAATAAGTCATTTCACTACAGACCAAAATCTCTATACAATTGAAAGAGTTCTCACACATGTGTCATTTTGTCATCTCGGTTCAGAACTCTACTAATACAAATGAGATGTTACATAAACTATGTCTATAAATTAAGTCTATAATAATATATGATCCTCCAAATATACAAACTCATTTAATGACTGTTATTTTGAAATTCCACATTAATGTGTCTTTGATACCAAAACCAAATATTCTATGTCTGTTGCTCATATCATAAAACTCAGTCTTACAAATTAAGAAGCTTCATGAATTACAATTGACAGTGTATACTTTTGTGGATATTTCAAGTTAATAATGCTTTAAGAATGGGTGACTAAACTCATGATAAAATGGGATTCCATCAAGACTAGCATGATAAGCCTTGGGCAGGCATTTTGGAAAACGGATGTCAAGGCCAGAAAATGGAGACAAGAACAATATTTCATGGATTTAAGCAGCCTCAGTGCTCCATGCTGCTTTGCCAGCCTTCAGGGGAAAAAAAATGAACACTTTTGGAGTTGCAAATAGAAAAAGCACAAATTCAAACATACTTTTCTTTTTAATCAAAAGCTCTTCTAGTGACCTTGATGCTTTGACAATTTTGGATCACGCATGCAAAATAATCAAACTCCATTCTCTACTCAGACAACAAGTGAAAATCACGTTTCCAGACAAACTAGCTTACAACTGCCTCCGTATTATCTTCATACTAGTAAAGGGTTTAAAACATCTACTATCTAGAAAATAGATTATATACAAGCCTTGCATTAAAAAAATAATTTAAAAAAAAACCCTTGTCTTTGATTTTGATTACTGAATAAACAGAGATAACAGAACTGTGAACATCTTTGATTTTCCCCAAAATCACCCTTTGGAGGAAAGTAGTGTAATGTTAATTATTCTGAAGTGTGTTTGAAAGGGCATCCATACCAAGCTCCACAGGAGACAAAGAAAAGAGTTTGACAAAAATTTAAACATGCATAGAGAAGCTGAAGAAACAAAGTTGTAAACAGTTATTGAGTTCAACCTAACAGTTTAAACAGAGAAATATATACAGAGCATCACATACTACTGATGGTCGTGGCATGCAGACACCAAATTTGTCAAAATTTGCAACCTGCATAATACCTTTGGTTGAATTGCTCCAACGGTTACCTTCAGAATAATGGGATAAAGTCAGCAGATTGACACATGAACCCCCAGCACCAGATCCAAAAACAGTGATTCTTAAGGGGTCACCACCAAAGAATCCAATATTCTCACTAGTCCATCTTAAAGCCTGTATGAGATCAAGGAGTCCATAGTTTCCTTTTGCAGCCTGATCCCCTGTGCTCAAGAAACCTGGAAAACAGAAATAAAAAGACATTAAAGAACACCCTTTTGAGTTGACATGAATCAGATAGACATCAAATTTAAATAAAATTGAAGCCTGTGTTCATCAAGATGAGTACAATCCAAGTTCTTTAGTAAAAATTTATTTCCCACCAGAATAGCATAATTTACTTTAGGAAGAATAGCAGAGACTAAAATCTGAAAAATGACATTTATCTTCCCCAGATGTTCCCAAGTTATCCAGGTAACAGGTAACAGGGGGCAGATAAAGAGAATGAAAACATTCTGAAAGACCTCAACGGAGATATTCTAGGGGCCAAGTTACCTGGTGGAGATATTAGGGATAGTATCATGGGGTATATGAGAATGTGTTTTTGCATAAATACTGTCAGTCCTCAAGTTGCTCGTGGTCTAATATGGTTGGAATTTAAGGTATGTGTGGCAGAGTGGCAGGATATGACGGTATAGAGCAGGGGTATTTTTCCAAGACTCGTGCATAAAATTATACGCAACTCTTTGCATATATAGGTGTATGCACATTTTTATTGATGATGCCCCATGGTTAAGAATCACTGTACCTGACGTAATTTGAGGTTACATTTTAGAACGCCCTAAATGCTAAACTGAGGAGATCTGCTCAACTAGAAAACAGTGTAGAATATTTGAAGATTTTTGAAAAGTTGAGATTCATATTTCTCCAGTACTCAAAGCTCCATTTTATAGTGAATTTAATAATGAAAAGAAATATATGTTGAATAATAGAAAGAATGGAGGTGGTGAGACATTATAAAGATGTAAACTGATAGAGTGGAAAAGGCAATTCAAGAAAAAAGGAGAAGAACAGTCTAAAATTAATGAAAAGAAACCTCAATTAAAATAGAATTGGGAGGTCAGAAAGGAAAGCGCTCATGCCCTATGACAATAGCAGAGCTCAGCAGGAAGAACAAAAACTTTCCTTGCCTGGCAAGAACTCAGCCAATGAGAGACTCTCACAACTCAGCCAGTGAAAAGCCACTCTACTTCAAACTCTCAATTCCTCCAATGGACTCTTTATTTACTACAGCCCTCCCAGCTTCCTTTTCCCCCTTTTAAAAAAGTTCTCCTCTCCTTGCTGTGAGGGGACTTGCATGTGGCTTGCCGTGGTTGTAGACCCAAACAGCAATTCTCTCTTGATCCCAAACAAACCCATTTTTACTGCAGAAATAGCTGGCAGTCTACTTGTTTTAGGTCAACCTTTTGATAGCCTGCATGGGGATCAAGAGAAGACCCTTGATGACTTCCAGGTTGGTGGCAAACAAGTGTGATACCCTCATTGAGCCTGTTGTTACTCACTGCTTTACTCGCCAGCCCTGAAATTGAAGAGTAAGTTTTTCTCCACTAAAGTGTCTGCTCTATTTGCATTTTGAAGTCCTCCAGGTTTTACTGGGGATCTGTTTTTTTTTTTTTTAATTTAATTTTATTTTTTTATACAGTAGTTTTTATTAGTCATCCATTTTATACACATCAGTATATACATGTCAATCCCAATCTCCCAATTCATCACACACCCCCCCCCCCCACACACACACACACCCCCGCTGCTTTCCCTCCTTGGTGTCCGTACGTTTGTTCTCTACATCTGTGTCTCAATTTCTGCCCTGCAAACCGGTTCATCTGTGCCATTTTTCTAGATTCCACATATATGCGTTAATATTCAATATTTGCTTTTCTCTTTCTGACTTACTTCACTCTGTATGACAGTCTCTAGATCCATCCACGTCTCTACAAATGATCCAATTTCGTTCCTTTTTGTGGCAGAGTAATATTCCATTCTATATATGTACCACAACTTCTTTATCCATTCGTCTGTCGATGGGCATTTAGGTTGCTTCCATGACCTGGCTATTGTAAATAGTGCTGCAGTGAACACTGGGGTGCATGTGTCTTTTTGAATTATGGTTTTCTCTGGGTATATGCCCAGTAGTGGGATTGCTGGGTCATATGATAATTCTATTTTTAGTTTTTTAAGGAATCTCCATACTGTACTCCATAGTGGCTGTGTCAATTTACATTCCCACCAACAGTGCAAGAGGGTTTCCTTTTCTCCACACCCTCACCAGCATTTGTTGTTCACAGATTTTCTGATGATGCCCATTCTAACTGGCGTGAGGTGATACATCATTGTACTTTTGATTTGCATTTCTCTAATAATTAGTGATGTTGAGCAGCTTTTCATGTGCTACTTGGCCTCTTTGGAGAAATGTCTATTTAGGTATTCTGCCCATTTTTGGATTGGATTGTTTGTTTTCTTAATATTGAGCTGCATGAGCTGTGTATATATTTTGGAGATTAATTGTTTGCCCGTAGATTCATTTGCAAATATATTCTCTTATTCTGAGGGTTGTCTGTTCATCTTGCTTATGGTTTCCTTTGCTGTGCAAAAGCTTTGAAGTTTTATTAGGTCCCATTTATTTTTGTTTCTATTTCCATTACTCTAGGAGGTGGATCTAAAAAGATCTTGCTGTGATTTATGTTCTTCCTATGTTTTCCTCTAAGAGTTTTATAGTGTCCGGTCTTACCTTTAGGTCTCTAATCCATTTTGAGTTTATTTTTGTGTATGGTGTTAGGGAGTGTTCTAATTTCATTCTTTTACAGGTAGCTGTCCAGTTTTCCCAGCACCACTTATTGAAGAGACTGTCTTTTCTCCATTATATATCCTTGCCTCCTTTGTCATAGATTAGTTGACCACAGGTGCCTGGATTTATCTCTGGGCTTTGTATCTTGTTCCATTGATCTATGTTTCTGTTTTTGTGCCAGTACCATATTGTCTTGATTACTGTAGCTTTGTAGTATAGTCTGAAGTCAGGGAGTCTGATTTCTCCAGCTCCGCTTTTTTTCCTCAAGACTGCTTTGGCTATTCGGGGACTTTTGTGTCTTCATAAAAATTTTAAGATTTTTTGTTCTAGTTTTGTAAAAAACGCCATTGGTAATTTGATAGGGATTGCATTGAATCTGTAGATTGCTTTGGGTAGTAGAGTCATTTTCACAACATTGATTCTTCCAATCCAACAACATGGTATATCTCTCCATCTGTTGGTATCATCTTTAATTTCTTTCAACATTGTCTTATAGTTTTCTGCATACAGGTCTTTTGTCTCCCTAGGTAGGTTTACTCCTAGGTATTTTATTCTTTTTGTTGCAGTGGTAAATGGGAGTGTTTCCTTAATCTCTCTTTCAGATTTTTCATCATTAGTGTATAGGAATGCAAGAGATTTCTGTGCATTAATTTTGTATCCTGCAACTTTACCAAATGCATTGATTAGCTCTAGTAGTTTTCTGGTGGCATCTTTAGGATTCTCTATGTATAGTATCATGTCATCTGCAAACAGTGACAGTTTTTCTTCTTCTTTTCCAATTTGGATTTCTTTTATTTCTTTTTCTTCTATGATTGTTGTGGCTAGGACTTCTAAAACTATGTTGAATAATAGTGGCGAGAGTGGACCTCCTTGTCTTGTTCCTGATCTTAGAGGAAATGCTTTTAGTTTTTCACCATTGGGAATGATGTTTGTTGTGGGTTTGTCATATATGGCCTTTATTATGTTGAGGTAGGTTCCCCCAATGCCTGTTTTCTGGAGAGGTTTTTTTTTTTTTCATCATAAACGGGTGTTGAATTTTGTCAAAGCTTTTTCTGCATCTATTGAGAGGATCATATGGTTTTTATTCTTCAATTTGTTAATATGGTGTATCACATTGATTGATTTGTGTATATTGAAGAATCCTTGTATCCCTGGGATAAATCTCACTTGATCATGGTGTATGATCCTTTTAATGTGTTGTTGGATTCTGTTTGCTAGTATTTGGTTGAGGATTTTTGCATCTATATTCATCTGTGGTATTGGTCTCTAATTTTCTTTTTTTGTAGTATCTTTGTCTGGTTTTGGTATCAGGGTGATGGTGGCCTCATAGAATGAATGTGGGAGTGTTCCTTCCTCTGAAAATTTTTGGAAGAGTTTGAGAAGGATGGGTGTTAATTCTTCTCTAAATGTTTGATAGAATTCACCTGAGAAGCCATCTGGTCCTGGACTTTTGTTTGCTGGAACATTTTTAATCACAGTTTCAATTTCATTACTTGTGATTGGTCTGTTCATATTTTCTATTTCTTCCTGGTTCAGTCTTGGAAGGTTATACTCCTCTAAGACTTTGTCCATTTCTTCCAGGTTGTCCATTTTATTGGCATAGAGTTGCTTGTAGTAGTCTCTTAGGATGCTTTGTATTTCTGTGGTGTCTGTTGTAACTTCTTCTTTTTCATTTCTAATTTTATTGATTTGAGTCCTCTCCCTCTTTTTCTTGATGAGTCTGGCTAATGGTTTATCAGTTTTGTTTATCTTCTCAAAGAACCAGCTTTTAGTTTTATTGATCTTTGCTATTTTCTTTGTTTCTATTTCATTTATTTCTGCTCTGATCTTTATGATTTCTTTCCTTCTGCTAGTTTTGGGTTTTGTTTGTTCTTCTTTCTCTAGTTCCTTTAGATGTAAGGTTAGACTGTTTATTTGAGATTTTTCTTGTTTCTTGAGGTAGACTTGTATTGCTATAAACTTCCCTCTTAGAACTGCTTTTGCTGCATCCCGTAGGTTTTGGATCATTGTGTTTTCATTGTCATTTGTCTCTAGGTATTTTCTGATTTCCTCTTTGATTTCTTCAGTGATACCTTCGTTATTTAGTAATGTATTGTTTAGCCTCCATGTGTTTGTGTTTTTTATGTTTTTTTCCCTGTAATTCATTTCAAATATCATAGCATTGTGTCAGAAAAGATGCTTGGTATGATTTCAATTTTCTTAAATTTCCTGAGGCTTGAATTGTGACCCAAGATGTGATCTATCCTGGAGAATGTTTCGTGTGCACTTGAGAAGAAAGTGTAATCTGCTGTTTTTGGATGGAATGTCCTACAAATATCAGTTAAACCTATCTGGTCTATTGTGTCATTTAAAGCTTCTGTTTCCTTATTAATTTTCTGTTTGGATGATCTGTCC